CTTTATAGTTTCTTAATCCCCATCCCCCACCACCAAAAATTAAATCAAGCAAAACTATAACAGCCAGTCTGCTGCCAGCCTGCACCTAGACAGCCTTTAAAGGTCCCTCCCCCCCAAACCAGTGTGATTCAATTAATAAAGACAAGAGACAGATCTGCCAAGATGCAGTAACTTTGCATACACAGGCACAGGGAATGTGGAAAAAGGKGTGTTTGATCCTCAGCAGCCTGGGTTTCTCTGGGAGCCTGAGAGAAGGGCAGCAGGCAGAAGCAACAGCTCAGGAGTAGAGGGTCACACGTGGTGACCAGAGACAGCCCCAAGTCACACAGGAGCCAGCGAGTGCTGCCAAATCTCACCTGAAACTGCTCTGCCATCCCCTAACAGTGYTCAGCAGTGCTCCTCAGCTCAGAGATTTGGGAACAGCACTGCCCCATCTCTGGGGATTTGAGGGGGTGGCTGACAGGCTGAGCTGACACTCCTCAGAAATGTGGCATTTCTTATATACCATCTGGAATGGACTCAGTCACCTCCCTGCCACCCTGGCCTGCTCTGGCATGGCATCAGGAATGTGAGGCCCATGGTGCTGAGGCCCTGCAGCCCCAGGCAAAGCCCAGCCCACCCCAGAGCAGCTCAGTAGAGCTGAGCCTCAGCAGATTAAGGTCATCAGGCACTTGTGGTCCAAAGGTGGAGCCACAGCCTGGGGGAGGGACAGGGGCTGTGACACAGGCWCTGCCTGGCACAGCTCAGGTGCCACATGACCTGTTCTACTGCCRGGACTGTGATTTACAGGAGGAAGCAGTCACCAAAAGGAAAGGAGGTGCCCAGCCTGCACGCGGTCATGAGTATCAGAAAACCATAAATGGTTTGGGATGGAAAAGCCCTTTGAGGTCACCAAGTCCAGCCATCCCCCAGCACTGCCAAGGCCACTACCAGCTCMCATCCTCAAGTGYCACATYCACATGGTTTCCAAATCCCTCTAGGCATGGGGACTCCASCACTGCCTGCAGCAGCTGTGGCCGGGCAGGCTGGACAAATCTTTCTGTGAAAAAGTCATTCCCAATATCCAACCTAACCTGGTGTCATCTGCAAACTCACTGAAAGTGCACTGCATCCTCTGCAGATCTCTGAGAAGGACACGAGGTTACACTTTCCAAAKCAACACACAGGTGCTGTAGCAGCCACAATGTAAACTGAGCTCAAAACTGAGCTCAACACCCCATCTCTGCTGTGCACAAACACAAGTGAGGGCTGCCAGGTTCTGCAGCCACAATGTAAACAGGGACAGGAGGACCCAACCGAGCTCAACACCCCATCTCTGCTGTGCTGAGGGCTGCCAGGTTCTGCAGCCACAATAAGGAACCTCTCAGTAGTCCTGAAAAACTCACCCCCTGACTCTGCACTAATATACTGTCACCTGGAGAAATGGAACATCGGAGAGGAATGAAAACAAGAGTGGTGAAGGAGCAGCAGTCCAGGTCCCTTCTCTAAGCTGGCTCTGTACCCAAGTGCCCTGGGAGAAGAGCAAGGGGCACCTCACTCCATGCCACCAGCTGCTCCAGCTGTGCTCCTTGAGGAATGAACCAATCGTTCCCATTGCAGGAAAAGCCAGGCCAGGGCTCCCCCACAGCAGATGTGCAGAGATTTGATCACCAGAGAAGAGCCCATGGGCCAGGGCCAGCTCCACCCACCGAGGCCAACACTCACAAACTGACCCCAGCCTCCTGCTGTGAGCTCCCAAAAGGCCAGAGAAGAGGCCTGGGCAGGACGTACCTGATGATGGTGTGCATGCCCCGGACCTGTGGAGTGCTCTCCAGGACGCTCAGCGTTTTCGGCAGGGGCTGCCCTTGGTGGGCAGAGGCCAGGGCTGCCCTGCAGTGAGGAAAGGGGTCAGAGCTGTGCAGCACAGGCAGTGCCAGAGCGTTGGGCCCTTGGAACAAGGCCCCACCAAAGGAAGGCTCTAGGAGAACCCCCCTGCAAGATGGGCATCATTCTCGCCTGGATCCTGAAGAATGCCCCAAATCTAATACCAGGYACAAGATCCCAAAGCCAGACTACCCAAAAAAAACAGGGTGAACCTCACAGAACACACAGCCCCTGCTGCAGCAGCCTCTGCAGCACCAGCCTTGGCCAGCACCAGCACCAACAGCTCTGCAGAGGCAGAACATTCCCCTGCACCTTGGGACCAGCCTTGCAGCATGCAAGGAACAAGGGACATGAACTGCCAGGGAACAGGGACCATGCAGGGCCCTTCTCYTGCAGAGGTGAACAGCCCAGGGTAACCCTGCAGTCAGGGCAGGAGCCCTGCTCCAAACAGGGACAGGAGCAGGGCAGGGAGCTGGCCACACACACCAGCAGAGTGTCACAGAGAGCCCAGAGCTGCAGCCAGATGGGCCCCAAGGAACCGAGAGCAGCCACTGCATCACTGGGGAGGAGCAGCTGTGCTCCAGCACCTCAGCAAAGCTCTGAAACAGGGACAGGGATSCAGTGAGMCACGGGAYCCAGTGGGTGCTAACAGCCCCCCACCCCAACCCAGAACTGCTCCTGGGCAGTGCTGGGTCCCACATACCTGACTGTGATCTCCCGCTGGACGGTGCAGCAGTCATCAGCGTGGCACAGGGGAACAGCAAGGACATCCTGTCAGTCACTCACAAACCAGCACAGCCACTGCAGCAGCCCAGTGGGCTCCCCATCCACCCACCCACCTCCCCAGTGCCCACCTCACACATCTGCTGCCCCAAGAACCACCCCACCACAGATCTGCTGCCCCAAGAACCACCCCAGGACTTTCCGAGAAGAGAGGTGATGTCAAGACCCACCACAGCCTCAGGCTATGCACAGCCACATCCTGCAGACCCTTCTCCTCACTCCCAGCTCACCTTCTCCAGCTGGCTGTGCACGTGCTGCACAATGAGGTCCAGCGCAACGAAGTTTTCCCCACCTGGGAGCGGAGCAGAGGAGCCGGGTGGGGCRGACGCTGACCCAGCCCTGCCCTCCACACCCGCTCCCAACGCCAGGCTCAGCTGGGGCCTCACCCCTGGGCACCACGATGTCGGCCACCTGCACGGTGGGCTCGATGTACTGCTCGAAGGCCGGCTTCACAAACTTGTTGTACTGCTTGATGACCCCCRCCACGTCCCGCCCGCGCTCCATGATGTCGCGCTGCAGCCGCCGCACCAGCCGGATGTCCGAGTCCGTGTCCACGAACACTTTCATGTCCAGGAGCTGGAAAACTGGGAGGGGTGAGCACCCCCGATGCAACCCTCATCTCCACCACCCAGCAGTGGCACCCAGCATCACCTCCCCTGGTGYCTCTGACACGCAGTGCTCTGTCAGTGAGTGCAGTGATTTCTCCCTCCACCACCCAGCAATGGCACCCAGCATCACCTCCCCTGGTGCCTCTGACACGCAGTGCTCTGTCAGTGAGTGCAGTGACTTCTCCCTCCACCACCCAGCAATGGCACCCAGCATCACCTCCCCTGGTGCCTCTGACACGCAGTGCTCTGTCAGTGAGTGCAGTGACTTCTCCCTCCACCACCCAGCAATGGCACCCAGCATCACCTCCCCTGGTGCCTCTGACACGCAGTGCTCTGTCAGTGAGTGCAGTGACTTCTCCCTCCACCACCCAGCAATGGCACCCAGCATCACCTCCCCTGGTGCCTCTGACACACAGTGCTCTGCCAGTGAGTGCAGTGATTTCTCCCTCCACAGCCCCACTGCTGCAGTGGCACCCAGGGCCAGTGCCTGTCCTGCTGCAGCACATCCCCTCCCGGGCCACAGCCACCTGAGGCAGCGATACCTTGAGTAGCTCCTTGTTAGCAAAAGCCAGGATCCCTTCAAACACGATGACATTGGCCCCGTACACCGTTTTCTGCAGGCAGACAGAAGCCATGTTAGTTCTGCTTCCCTCACACGCCAAGGCAGCACCAACACTGACACAGACAGTGCACCAACCCCTCTGCACTCTCACCACTGCGGTGGAACACCCCATAACTGTCCTGCACCACCCGGTGTCTTGGAGTCCCAGTTCATCCCTGTGCATGACACTCCAGCCCAGGACAGACCCTAAACCTTATTCCACATCCCAAACCTCTTCCCAGCACCATCCCCCTGCCCCCCCCTTCACACTGAGCCCCTCCCTGGTATCTGCACTGGCCTTTTTGCACATCCACCCACAGTCTCCCCAGAATGAGTCCCCCACTCCTGACGACCCCCAGCCACCCCCTTTCCCCTTSCCAGCCCTGCAGCTCCCAGAGGTGCTCCCCTTTGCCAGGACTCTGGCACCAGGCCCAGCGTGGCCCTGCAGCACGCACCCACTCGCGGCGCCGGCTGTGAGTGGTGAAGTCGTACACSGGCACCTTCACGCTCTTGCCCTTCTTGAGCTTGCGCAGGACGCTGACGAGCAGCTCGAAATCAAAGGCATCGGGGTGGTCGAAGTTGTAGTCACTGCGGGCTGCCAGTGCCTGCTGCCCCTCATCCAGCACCTGCAGGCACCAGCACCACTCTGGATCCTGGCATCCACCAGCACCGCTCAGCGCCGTGCCAGACACCCAGACCGGGGCACCAGCACCACTCTGGATCCTAGCATCCACCAGCACTGCTCAGAG